TGAAAAATTGAAGTGTTATTTCCAAAATTTGTACGTATTTTATTAATTTTTACATTGATAACCAAATATTTTATTTTATTTATTAATTTTCACATTATAAATCATGTAATGTACTATTTTTCTTACAATTGTCAATAATACATTTTAAATTAGATAATTTTATAAAATATTTTTAATTTGTTATTATTTGTCTAATAAAATAATTATAAAATGTAAACTAATAATTATAATTTCAGCATATAATATTATAATTAGTTAGGTTTTAATAATTTTGTATTATAGTTAGTTAGGCTGTAATAATTTGGATTTTTTTAGCGGATTAGGGTTTTCCGCCAAAACGAGATTTTAATGGCCGTTCTTTCATTGATTAGTCTACCCTTTATAATAGTCCATATATAATTATATATTTTATCTATGATAATTCTATGATTTTTCTTTTATGTGATGCAAATTTAATGGTTAACATAAGTTTATACAGAGAAAGAGCATCTCAATATTCACAAATTGATGAAAAAAATAAAAGTTAATAATGTAGTACCTTCATTTCTTATTGGATTCTTAAAAAACAGTATTTATAATGAATTTTAATAATTTTTTCGGATTTTTTTGAAGCTTTAATCCGAACGATTCAATCGATTCTCAATCCAGATCGCTGATTCGTCGATCCGGATCGGTTTTGAGATGCCCGATCAGGGTCACCGATCTGATTTTTAAACCATTGCCTTTATCTAATAATTCTTCCAATTGTTGTTGAAGTTCCTTAAGTTCCGTAGGTGCCATTCGGTAGGGGGCCTTAGAAATTGGGGCTGTCTCGGGAAGTAACTCAATAGAGAATTCAATTTCCCTATCAAGTGGTAACCCTGGCAATTCCTCAGGAAATACGTTAGAAAATTCTCGGATGGACCGGAATGGTGTCCAAGTTTATCTTTTCCATTCTATCTACTTTAACATATGCAAGAAAGCCTTGACATCCTTTTTGAAGGAGGAGATTAGCCTGAATTGAGGACATTAAAAATGGTGGATAGACTTCCTTGATACCTTCGAAGTAAAATACTGGTTGATTCGGAATACAAAAAGTAACTCCTTTCTTGTAACAATCAATACTTGCATGGTACGCAGAGAGCCAATCCATGCCTAAGATCATATCAAAATCTTGAATTTCTAGGAGTATTGAATCCATTAACTTTTCCTTTCCTTCTATCCTTATCACACAAGCCTTGTATACTAGATTGGTATTAATTGAATTCTCCATAAGTGTGGCTACCTCTAGAATGTAATCTAATTGTTTTGATTCTACCCTTAAGTGACCTGCAAAGTGTGATGACACAAATGAATGAGTAGATCCAGGATCAATCAAAACCTGAGCTGCTTTTTGAAAGATAGTAAGAGTACCTTGGATCACTGATTTTGAAGCTTGAGCATCTTGTCGAGTAATTGCAAATACTCTCCCCTTTGTCTGAGGTTTCTGGGCTGCCTCTTCAGGCTTCAAATATTGATGCATTTTCAAGGCAAAACAATCGTTGATCTTGTGCCCCAACATCCCACATTGGAAACAAGCTCCAATTTCTTAATAACAGGGTTTCATCCCATGACTCTTCCCACATTTTTTACAAGGCTCAAGTGGGCTTTGAAATGGCACCGGCCTTGGCCTTTTGTTTGCTATACTGATTTCTGTGGCTATTCCTCTTTTCGTAATCTTTGCCATCTTTTTCAACAATTTGAGCTCTGTCTACTATTTCGGCATAAGTCCCTAGTTTTAAGACTGATATTCTGCTTTTGATGGCTAGTCTGAGGCCCCTTTCAAACTTTTTTACCTTTCTTGCTTTGTTGTTGACCATATGTGGAGCGAACCTGGCCAATTCAGTATACTTGGCCTCGTACTGTGCTACTGCCTTGCTTCCTTGAACTAATTCCAGAAATTCCATTTTTTTTTGTCTCGAATAAAATCTGGGAAGTACTTTTCATTAAATGTCTCTAGAAATACCTTCAAAGTCATGTGTTTATTTTCTTGGACCAATATTCCTTTTGACATTCGCCACTAATGTTGTGCTTCACCTTGTAAAATAAAAATTATCAAGGACCTTCTTATCATCAGGACATTCCATTACCTCAAATGTTTTCTCCAATTGTATTATCTATCCCTCAGCTTCTAGTGGGTTTACAACACCCTTAAAAGAGGGTGGGTTCAATTTCTTAAATTGTTTGATATTACATCGACCATTTCCCGTAGCTGACTGCCTGGGTGGATTGTTGTTCTCCATCTGATGTTGCATTAAGGCAACCATATTTCCCAAGGCTTTATGAATTTCTTCCATATTAGCTTCAGCCATTCTGGATCTTGCTCTCGTACCGATCTGTACATACAATAAATATGACTTAAAGTACATTCTTTTCAAATTTTCTAGGAATCTTAAAAGTATTGCTCTGATACCATATTTGTCACACCCCAAGATTTCTAACATTCCCGAGGTGCAACAAACTATTCTTATACTAGGAAAAATTAAAATTCTTATTCATATATATTGTAACAAAACAAAATTTTCTATTAATTAAAATTTGTATAAAGTTTGCTCGCAACTGGTATTAACATGAAGACTAGGAATACATCTGTTGATAGAACAAAAAATTTACAGTGGTGAAGTTAAACAAAAGTTACAAAGGAAAATTTAGTTATGACATGACTGCATCTTCTTCACAAGCTGGGCCTGATGTGCATTTAACTATGAGACTGCAATTACCCTAAAAAATATTTACCATAGTTTGGTGAGTTTGGCTACTCAGTAAGTGATCATCATGGTCCTAAAAATAATCATGGTTCGAAGATATAAACATTTTCTGAAGAATGTATGCAAAAAAAAAACAACATGAGGAAGAATTACGAGCAAAAGCATTTATAGATAACAATTGCACTTTCACAAATCTACAGTTAAACATAATCCAAATGATGGAAATGCATATAAACATTTTAACAGAGATGCATGATTCAAAAGATTCTACAAAATACCCTACTAGCGTCCCAAGTAGGTTACCTATATACCCCACTATTGTCTTGATGGGTCAAAACAACCCCTGCAGGTCCAAATGTACTTCACCGGCGTACTGGATAAGTCCAAATAGCCCCTAGTAGATAGGTCTAAACAATCCCTGCAGGTCGAAACATACCTCATCGGCGTCCCGGATGAGTCAAAATAGTCCCTACCGGCGTAACCGGATACGTCCTAAAATTCCTTGCAGGTCCGATCATACCTCACCCGTGTCCCGGACGAGTCCAAATAGTACCTACCGACATAACCGGATAGGTCCTAACGATCACTGTAGGTCCACTTATACTCAAATTATCTCTGAAACTCTTTAAACATCAGAAAATAACAATATCATATATGCGAAGTATCATTGAAAACATTAATATAAATTCCCTCTAAGCAATTTAATAACAATCACTTCCATTGAAATATCTCTAAGTAGCCTTTTAAACATTTTTTGCAATAATTTCTAAAAAGTAACAGTTCTGAAGGACATTCTTAAAATTTAACATGATAACAGTCTAGTATCAATAGACGAACTTTATGAGAATCCAAATTTAAATATGGAATTATTACAATTTATGGAATTGCCAATATGTAAATAATCATTTCATAGGCAATACAACAATCAAGTGTAAAAATATCAAATTTTTATATAATTAGGCAGACATTTTCAAAATCAATAGAAGGAAATCTCATAATTTTACCACAAGCAAAAATATCACCTTTATTTCTAATAATTTACAGCATTTAAAATTCCTAACAATAGGTAAAATATCACAATTTTACTAAAAAGATTATTTTTCAAAACAATGAGGTCACTTATACACAAAGCTTATAAAATACAGATGCTGGACGAAAATATCACTATTTATTAAAAACTGACTATTTTTCAAAAGAATGCGATCACTTACCTATAATATTTGAGAGGGAACTTCAATAAAATTCGGCTAGAGAGGGAAAAGCGGTGAGAGCACCATGGATAAGATCCTGAGAGGAAGTAAAGCTTTGGATTCGAAAGAATGGCATGGGTTGTAGCACATGAGGTTTTCAACTGTCTATCGAATATGAGAGATAGTTAGGCTATCTCAAGAAATTTTGAACAGACAGAGGAGGGTGGTGACTTACGAGGTTTTCAATGGAAAACCTGAACATTTCAGCCATGGCAGGGGATAATGGGAAGGTAGAAGGAACAATTTTAGAGAGAGAACATACTAGATGGAAGAAAGAGGTTAAAGAGAGAGAGAATACAGTGAAAACAAAATGATAACTTAGAGAGAGAGAAGATTAAAAGGAGAGAGAGAGAGTACGGTACCAGAGAAGGATTTTTCAATAAAACTCCTTAGATCAAAAGAAAACTTCTTTATAAAGCATCCATGCATGATGCAAAGCATGCCACATCATTTAAAATGTATCAATAGAGGATTAACTGAAACATATGGTAATGCCACCACACAATATGACAATTAATGCAACATCTTATGGAGGCACATCAGCCTCACCATACCCATTACGCTTGCAAGAAGAAATGTTTTAGAAGCTTTACATTCAATTATGGTAAAAGAGCTGATGGACCAAAGGTGCACCTTAAAGAAATGGACTAGCATCAAAAATTTTGAGAAAACAGTAGCTTTGAATTGTTAATCAAATATCCAAGAAACGTGGGGGGTTAAATTGAGGGGTAATTTTACGTTAGAGAAAAGATGGTCCTTATGGTGCATTTTGTCACCATGAATTATCGTTCTAAATATTTCATTATGTATTTTATTTTATTTCATTTATTTATTTTTTTTATTGTTTTTATTCTATTAACACGATTATTATTAGTTTTCAGTTTTGTTTTTAAAAAAAATTAGGGTCGTCACACAAGCTTCTTGAACTTGTGATATCTCACATCAATGTGTTTTTTCCTTGCATGAAACACTTGATTCTTTGCAAAATTTATAGGACTCTGACTATCACAATGCAGTACAATACCTTCTTGCTCCACCCCCAACTCATGATCCAAACCAGTCGACCGGATCGCCTCCTTTGCAGTCTCAACTGCTGTCATGTACTCTGCCTCTGTCATAGACAAGGCAATCGTGGGTTGAAGCATCGCCTTCCATGAAATAGGTCCACCTACTAGTGTGAAGACATATCATGTAGTAGACCTTCGCTTGTCTAAATCATCAGCATAGACGGAATCAACATATCCCACAAGTTCTGTAGAGCTTCTCTTCCTGCTGAACATAATTTCGAGATCTGACGTCCCGCTCAGATATTTGAGAATCCACTTAATAGCATTCCAATGCTCCCTTCCAAGATTACTCATGTATCGACAAACAACACTAACATCATGAGATAAATTCGGCCTGCTACAAACCATATCATACATGAGGCTTTCGACTGTGCTAACATAGGGCACTAGAAACATCTACTCTATCTCTTCATCCATAGTAGGACACTGCCGTTTAGATAACTTGAAATGACTCGTTAATAGAGTGCTAACTGACTTGGCCTTTTCTATATTGAAACGCTCCAACACCTTTTCAACATACCTTTTCTGAGTTACATAGAGTTTACCTGTACTTATATCTCTATGAATATCCATATCAAGGATCCTGTTAGCAGCGCCTAGATCCTTTCTATCAAACTCAGAACTTAATATAGACTTGAAGGAAGTAATGTCACATGCATTATTGGCAGCGATGAGCATGTCATCATCATAAAGCATCAAGAGAATAAGGGAATTATCATCAAGAACTTTAAAATAAACACAACAATCATACTCACTTCTTGAATTACCAATCCGCCCCATAAAAGAGTCGAAGCGCTTGTACCACTGTCTGGGAGATTGTTTAAGACCAAAAAGCGATCTCTTAAGCAAGCAAACTTGATCTTCCTTTCTATACACTTTTAAGCCTTCAGGTTGCTCCATAAAGATTTGTTCCTCTAAATCACCATGAAGAAACATTGTCTTCACGTCAAGCTGTTCTAGCTCCAAATCAAACATGGCTACTAAAGAAAGTAATAGCCTTAATGAAGTGTGCTTGACAACCAGACAGAATATTTCATTGTAGTCCGCTCCTTCCTTCTGAGTGTAGCCCTTTGCTACGAGCATAGCCTTGAATCGCTCACATTCCTTTTTTTGTTGCTGCTTCTTTCTTTCGAAAGATCCACTTGCACCCAATCACTTTCCTTCCCTTGGGTCACTTGACAAGGTCCCAAGTATTGTTTTTTTTCAGAGACTTCATCTCCTCCATCATGACTGTCATCCATTTATGACTCTGTGCATCACTTAGAGCATCTTCGAAAGAGTCAATTTCTCCAGTACTAACAGTTAGAGCAAAGGCTACCATGACCTCAAAGCCGTATCTCACAGGGGCTTTGTGAACACGCTTCTTTCTGCCTTTTGCCAAATTTTGATTGTTGTTGTTCAGATATGCTATCAGTTAATTTTTCCTCTTCTGGTGTTTTAGACTCTTCTAGTTCCACCTGGACTATCTATCTTTCTCCATCACTTTCATCTACTTGCACTTTGTCATCTTGCATGTTGATTGACTTCACCATGTGAGATTTATCAAACACAACATCCTTGTTAAGCACAACCTTATGTGAAGTAGGATCCTAAAGCTTGTATCCCTTCACTCCCTTCTTAAAATCGAGAAAGATGCATTACTTAGACTTAGAGTCTAATTTGGAACGTTTCTTACTTTGAACATAGACATAGGCTGGACATCCGAAGATCCTCAGCATAGAGTAATCTACCAACTTTCATGTCCACATCTCCTTTGAAATTTTGCAATCAATCGCTGTAGATGGTGACCTATTAACGATGAAACAGGTCATGTTAGCTGCTTCTACCCATAAACGTTTCTTCAAATCTGTATTCAATCGCATACTACGAGCTATTTCCAAAAGAGTCTTATTCATCCTCTCAGCCACACCATTTTGCTGATGAGTTTTTGATGTGGTAAAGTGACGTACAATCCCTATTCTTTACAGAATTATTGAAATTCTCTAGACTTGTACTTCCCTCCATTATCTAATCTCAAGCATTTCAGTTTCTTTCCTGTCTTCTTTTCTACATTTGTTTTTCATTATTTAAACTTCGTGAATGCTTCACTTTTGTGCTTCCTGAAGTAGACTCAGACTTTTCTTGAGTAATCGTCAATGAAGGTAGTGAAATATTCTGCCCCACCCTTGGATTTGATTGGTGAAGGCCCCCATACATCAGTGTGTACATAGTCTAGTATATCCTTACTCGTATGAACTGCAGTTCTGAATCTAATATTGTATAGTTTACCGAAAACACAGTACTTACATAAATCTAGTTTACAGGCTCTTACACCCTTACCAATTTACTTTTATGAAGTTCCATCGTACATCGTTCACTCATATGCCCTAAACGCATATACTACAATTTTGTGTCATCTATGCTGGACTCTATATCTGTGGTTACAGAAGCTCCACCTGTAACTGTATTCCCTAACAACTTGTATAGGTTCTCAGTCATCTGACCTTGCATGGCAACCATAGATCCCTTACTAACTTTGAGGATTCCACTTGTTGTTGTATACTTGCAATAATTCAAATCAAGAGCCCCCACAGATATTAAGTTTTTCTTTAATTGGAGGATATGCCTCACATTTGATAAGATTCATACTATCCCATCAAATATCTTGATTTTGATAGTTCATATTCCAATGGTTTTGCATACTGTATCATTCTCCATTAGAACAGACCCACCACTATATGATTTGTAGGTTTCGAACCAGTTTCAATTTGGACACATATGAAAAGAACAACAATAATCTAAAATCCAAGAATCAGTAAATTGATTCTTACATGAAGATATAGAGAGAAGATCTCTATCATCTCCGTCAAAGCTATCAGCCACGTTAGCTTCATCAGATGTTTTTCCTGTTTCTATTCTCTTTATAGTCTCCTTTCTTTTTGGGCAGTCTCTCTTCATATGACCTTCTTTTTTGCAGCAATAGCAAATAAACTTGCCTTTTCCCTTCGATTTTGACCGACTTCTGCTTTTAGACATCATTTGATTTAATCTGACCCTTTCATGACTCTCTTTGTGTTTTTCAAAGAAACATTTTCCTTGAGATTTAATACTGCTAGTCTTCTTCCTTATCTCGTTGACATAAGAGCAGCAGTGACTTCGTCCGTCTCAAGGGTCTCCTTCTCGTAAAGTAGAGTCGTAACCAGGTGACCGTATGATCCTAAAAGCGAAGCACACTGAAGTAGGGCCTTGTCTTCATCATCGATTTTGACCTCAAGGCTTGCTAACTGACTTATGATCTGGTCGAACTTGCTGAGATGTTCAAGTAGATCTGTGCCTTCTTCCATCTGAAGAGAATACAACTGCTTCTTCAAGAACAACTTGTTTGTCAGAGATTTCGTGATGTAGATACTCTCGAGTTTTGTCCAAACCTCCGGAGAAGTTTCAAGATTCACCACATAAAGCAAGGCGTCATCCATCTCACCTCCGGAGAAGTTTCAGACAAATCGCACTTACCGCCTTTTCCTCCATCTCTTGCTACTCTTCATCGTCCATCTTTGTTTGTTTCTTCGATTTCCCTAGAAAAGCCTTGCCAGATCTTGTTGTACCAAAGGGTAAAATTGTTCTTTCCATTGAACCTCTCAATGTCATACTAGACGCTTGAGCCCTTTCCTGTCATTGTAGTAACAAACCCAAGAACGCGGAATAACTTTGTAGGCTCTGATACCAATTTGTAGAAACGAAAAGCTATCTACAAAAACAAGAAAGAAGAAACAAACACAAAAGAAAGAGACAACCAACAACAACACAAAGATATAAGTGGTTTGACAATGTGTCTACGTCTACAAGGGATTAGAGCTTCTTTACTGGCAATAAAAATAGGGTTACCATACGCTCTCTTCCTCACGCCTCTCTGTTTTTATCTAGTTACAAAGAGATATGCGTTTTTCCCTTAACCCTTAACCCTAGATGAACCCCTAATCACAACAATATATATCAAGTTTTAGATAGATGGTACAAATTATCGAAATACCCTTGAACGAATATATTTATCAAGTCCCAGATATATCGAATCCTATGTACGGATATATTTGAATTTTTCCTCGGGGCCTGCCCCCCCTGAACCCTCGCAGAGGCCAAGTCCATCAAGTCAACCTGTCAGGACGACTCCTCCGGGCCTCAAGCCTTACGACATTCGGCCCTTCGGGCTTTTAATGGCCCTCCAGAGTCGTCTTTTTCACTCCACCTTAGCAAATCTATTTTTTCAGAATACAAAACATCAATCCTCAATAGACCCGCCAAGTATACCCAACATGGGTCTGGGTATGGGTCCAACATTTGGATCCAGTGGGTTGGGTCTGGGTCTAAAACCTGGACCCGAATACTATTTGGGTCAGGGACCGGTTAAATCCAATCCGTGCTTGTAAACTATTGAAGACAAAATACTTCAAGTCTTATTCGTTTGGGTATATTAAGGATTATATACATTAGGAACTCGTAGTTATCTTTAGCTATTAAACGACAAATCAAACCGTTCGAAATCTAAAGGCAGCTGATTGTGACGTTGTTGCCAATAATATGGATATATGATGTTAAAAAGAGGGCAAAAAAAAAAAGATGCTCATAGTAAGGGTGGCAATGGACCCAATCAGACCCAGGGTTTGACAGATATAGGTATGGGTCCAACTTTTGGACCGATAGGTCAGGTCCAGGTCCAAATCATGTACCTAGATATTATTTGGCTTGCGGTCTGGGTCCAGTCGAACCCATCCCATACCCAACTTGTTGTCATCCCTAGTAATTGATTTTTTTTTAGTGTACAACCAATTGACTCTAAACAATACCACTTTTATCCAAATGAAAGTATTGCTAGGCTCATAAGCATAAAGCCGCTTGAAATATTGTAGAGAAGGGATAGGATTACTATTATCAAGACCAGATCGTTTCTTAAATCGGTGAAGGAAGGGATTGGTCCAATCAAAGTCGGTCCAATTGGCGATGGTCGGACCGATTATTATATTTTTTAATACATAAAAATTAAAAATTTAGTAAAATTTTAAAATTCGACTAAAATTATAAAAAGTAATAACAATTGAAAAATA